TTCCTTCTCAACCCTTATGAGATTGGATATGCTGAGAATGAGTGCCTGGCCCAAAAGCATCCAGTGACCTTCCAGGCCAAATGAAGATTCGGATTTAGGATTTTGTGGACCTCACGTAGCATTCATAACTATCTTTTTTTCTGCCAGCCTGGTGAAACTAAATTCTGAATAATAAACGCTATTATGGTCTGTAAAGGTAGTAAACGTATTATCAGCTCTTCCACCAGGTTCTGCTCAAGATGCATCATAATCTATTAATGATCCACTGATTTATCACATTCTGCCTGATTTATCACAACTTCCTATCTAACAGATTCTGACAGCGTCCTGCCTATACCCTCTTGAGTCTGGAAGTTTTATGGTTTTTTTCATCAAAGACTGGCAGTCTTGACCCCATAACTCTTGAAAGCAATGAATAGTGACTTGAAATTCATTGTCCTTGGGTCACATGCAACCCTCCAAGGAACTTTCTGCAGCTTATAGCAATACTTTCTAGGCCCTGATGGACAGGTGATGCCCATAGGCTTCATATACAAAACAGCTCTATCCTCTCAGAATTCTCAACTGTAGGGGGCACAAGTGATAACCTCAAAGCAGGGGTCCCCAACCACCGGTCCCTGGACCGGTACCGGTCTGTGGATCATTTTTTACCGGGCCGCAAAGCTTGGGCGCCGCCATCTTGTTTCGACAGCGCTTCCGGGTTTTCAGTTGCTTCCGGGTTTTCGGTTGGAAAGTGCTTCCGGGTTTTCAGTTGGAAAGCGGCGTTTGGGTGCTCGCGCCTTAGTTTCGTCGAAGGGGGGGGGCGGCTTCGAATGAAGAGCCGTCCCGATGGCGGTGGAGTCTCACGTTACTCAGGTACCGGTCCGTGGAAGAATAAATAATCGTGAAACCGGTCCCTGGTTCGAAAAAGGTTGGGGGCCACTAGGACAGGAAGAAGAGTGCTACCAAGGCAAAAGTCAGATAAGAGGGGCTTGAGCCCAAGCCAAAACAATAACTTGAGAAAAATGTCTCAGAAGGAGATGCACGTCTATACTTACAAGACTCTATTATTATATCTATTACAATAAAAGTAGTCCTGACCTATAGGACATTGGTTTCTTCATCCACCTGATTGGGCTGATGATACCACCTGCTGATAGTTTTTGTGGCAAGCATTACTTCTGAGTTGATACCTGAGCTTCTGAGCAGTGGTGACAGGGAGGCAACTCTTGGTCCAGAAAGATGGGCCATGGAGCTGGGCTGCTAGAGGGAGGGAAAGCAGTGGAGCTGAAGAGGAACACCCAATATGTTCACCCTATATGAGGGTCTCTGCCTAGCAAGGAGCAGGGAGGAGCGTGCACACAAGCTAGCTCTTTCTGCTGTGAAAGAAGATCTCTGTCCAATAGATAGAAAAGAGAAGGGAAAGTCAATGGGGGAAACAGTAAAGCCAGATCTCTCTGCTCAGAAACAAGAAAGAAGGGGGGAAAAAGCAGAATTTGTGCAGTTCTTGGAAGGACCAATTCCTAGATGATATCACCCAACATGTTGAAAAAATATGTAGGATAATATCCGTAATAATATCCTAGTGGAAAATATGATATTGAAAAAAAATACAGCGTGTATCAACCCAGTAACAAAAGCAAATTAAAACCTGGGCCAGCTATAAAATAACAGTCTTGGTAAAAAATAATAATAATAAATAAATGTTTAATATGTTTAACAGTAATACCATTTGCGAGTAACTCATCAGGGACTTTTATATCAAGATAAAAAAAAGTTTCAGAGTCATAGCCCTTGGCTAATTAACTAGGCCTCAGGCACACTCATGGTAGTTTTGAGTCTGAAATCCCTGATCCAGAACAGTTCGGGAGGGGCAGCCACTACACTAAACTGCCAAAGAGAGATTAAAGGAAGAGCACTTTTGGGAGTTGACTTCTTGGTCCAGTGTTGGACTCTGCATAGTATGGTGTGATGTATACGTTGCCTTCTTCAAGTCTTGAACCTTGGGCCTTCTCCTCCCTGTAAAGCAGGACCTCCATTTGACAAAAAGTAAGGTGTAATTTGGAGTCGCCTGTTCTGCAAATGTTCCTGCTGAAAATGCCATGCTGTTTTGGGAGAGTACATAACTGCTACTGCTGTTGCCATTAGGTTTCAGGTCTACTTACTTCTCTCTCTCTTTGTATGTTTGGGTCTGATATGACTACATCCCTCCATTAATCATTAACTCTCCCTTTAGCAGAAACAATGCTGAGCAACACTTTCCCTCCCTATAAAAGTAGCTACAGATAGTCCTCGACTTACAACAGTTCGCTTAGTGACCATTGAAGTTACAATGGCACTGAAAACAGTGACATGACTATTTTTCACACTTATGACTATTGCAACATCCCCATGGTCACGTGATTTACATTGGGATGCTTGACAACTGATTCAGATTTATGATGGTTTGCAGTGTCCCGGGGATATGTGATCACCTTTGGAAACCTGCTGAGAAGCAAAGTCCATGGAGAAACCAGATTCACTTAACAATGATGTTACTAATTTAACAACTGTAGTGATTCACTTAACAAATGTGGCAAGAAAAGTCGTAAAAAGGGGCAGAGCTCAATTAACAAATGTCTCACTTAGCAACATAAACATTGGGCTCAATTGTGGTTGTAAGTTGAGGACTACCTGTATTGTGTGCATGCATGTGTGTGTATGTATCTATAGGTTAAGGCACCAGGCTAGAAAATGGGAGACTGTGAATTATAGTCCCACCATAGACACAAAGACAGACAGATGATTTTGGGCTGGTCCCTCTCTCTCAGCCCTTGGAAGGAGGCGAGGGTAAGCCACTTCCAACTGTTGCCAAGAAAACTGCAGGGATTAGCCAACCCTTATAAACATTGCTCTGTTAGCATAATGATGACTATCATTTGTAATGCCCTACACTAAACATCTTTGAAGACTTATTTTCTATGCATAAGGATTCAAGTCACCTTTCCAAATTTCTAAATTATAACGAACAGGAGTGTGCTTATGGAAAAGCTCTGACTGAAGTTTGTTTGCTTGTTTTCTTTTCTAGGAAAAGGGATTTTGGATGGGAGTAAAAGAAAGTGACTGGAAGGAAAACCAAGATATGCTACAGAAAGGCATTTTCCCTCAAGTCCTCATCAGATCGGTCCCTCTGAAATGAGCTCAAAAGCAACAGAATGAAGAAAGAAAGAGAAAGCTGCATTTTCCAAAATCTAGTTTTCTATAATTATTAAATCTTTTTTCCCCTTCAGGCCAATTGCCTCACATCAATATAATACCATGCAGGTGGCAATATTTATGATACATGAACTTTTGAAAAATATGAGTTCCATCTATTATGTCAGAAACTGGCAATCTTTGAAAGAAATTTGTCCTTCTGAGGCAAAGGCCTCAGAACTACTTTTCTAAAATGGAACACCACCATAAAGAGTCCTATTATAGAATAGCTAGTAGCCCCATTTACCCACTCTGACTCCTCAGACAAGTCCTCCATTTCAGCTAGTTGAAAACTCATTACATTCATGATTCATCTACTAGAAAATAATACAATTAATAATTGCAATTCAATCATGCTTTTCCGGAATATGTTAAATGATTATTCGGAGAATGGGAAAAGTAAGAAAGATGATTAACTTCTATTCTGTAAGTATGAGAAGGAGGAGAAACTTAAGGAAACTTTTACATGATGAGATTATCATTTCGGATAGGAAAATCACACATTAAAGTTCATATGTAAAATATATTGAACAAAGAAAATATATACTGTATATGAGGAAAAAAGACACTTTCCCCAACGCGTGTGCTGGGACTTTTCTCCCATTTATGGGGAATCACTTAATTATGCCATTTATCTGTTTGTAGTTTGAAGCAGTTTGCTATGGAAAAATCTTACTGCTTTATTTTGTTTTTGTTTTTTTGTATATATGAATCTCTTATCAGGAGCTGGCATTACGGAGTAAAATAGAGGATATTTATACAATCCTTTTGAATCCTGGAACTGCCTTCCATGCTCAACGGCTTCTGAACTCTTCCTTGTTTTTCCTTTTTTTATCCATTTTATCATGTTGTCAAGCACATTATATTCTGTTTTCTCTTATTTTAGACCAGTGGCCCCCAACCTTTTGGGTACCAGGGCCTGGTTCCGTGGAGAGAGGTTTTTCCATGGACTGGATGGGGCATTGCCTGTTTGCATGGCCCTGATGCCAGTCCACGAACTGGGGGTTATGGACCCCTGTTTTAGACTATTGTTTTAACTAGAAATGTCTGGTTCTGGACACCTACAAATGAGGCATTAGGAGCTCTCATCTGTTGCTTGTTTGAAGCATTTTATTATGATCATTTATTATGATGGTAATCATTAATCGACCTATCTCCTCCAGCTCAATCACTTGGATAGCTTTCGAGAGGTATTGTAAATATATCTGTACCTATAGTAGTTAATACAAACATAATTCGTTTCTGCCTAACACATAATAAAACATGTCTGCATTTCAAATTCAAAAACGTGCATTTGATTCCTTCGACCTGGTGCTCTGTTATATCTTTGGAGGTGTAATTCCTTGCTGACTTGAAGAAAAACTAATTTGGGGAAGATTGATCTCATCTCAACATTCTGAAGCAATTTTTTTTGTGCAGAACTGCCAAATGGTCCCCAAAACATTAGCAGCTCACTACTTTGTATATTCTGCTGACTATAAATTACATAACTTCAGGGGGAAAGGGGGTGGTTTGGGGCTACATAAGCTATACTGGCCTACCAGAATCTTCCATCCTCCAACCCCATCTTTAATTTTGGCAACCTCAGCAGCTTTGAATAAAGTGCTTCCTGCTGAACCAAACTGTCCTGCCTTACTAGTAAGTGACACAAGAACGTTATGGGCCTTGTCTCTCTCCCTCTCTCTCTCTCTTTCTCTCTGTCTTTGGCATTACAAAGAGTTAAGGAATAAGCATCCTGATGACTCGGCTGTTTATTATCAAGTAGTGAAACTGGAAAGGTGACATGGGCAGGGGAACGCCTTAGCCTACTCACTAGAAAGCTAGGAAGCAGCTCCAGGAAGGAACTAGAGAAGAAATATCCATGCTAGTGGAGCCAGGGAAGAAATTTAACAAATTTGTCAAGTCAAAATTATTTTCCCACCAACCAGGATTACTCCAATCAGGTAAGAACTGGTTAGGGAACCAATTTAACCCCAGGATTAATTGAAAATAAAATAGAAAATAAAATTATTTCTACATCTGGGGTAGTGTAAATGGTCTGAGCTGTGTTTACACATGAACGGAGCTAGTGCTGCTCCTGAGCACGCTCTCCAGGCACACTAAGAGAATTGTAAAATACATGCACCACTAATTTCATAGTGTGCTGGTTATCTACTTTCCCCAATTTTTTTCTTGTCTGCAGGTGTTTTTTTTAAATTGTTTTACTGAGTTTCCTATAAGGACCAGCCACTTAAGTTTCTTGAATGTTGGCATATACTTTTGATAAAAAGGGGGTGAACAAAAAGCTTTGAAACCTGCAGATAAAACATTAAGTGAGGGATTTGATGCAAAACTTTTTTCTTTTTTCTTTTGTTCTAATTGCTTTTTGATATGGTAGGATAACGATAGAGGAATATAAAAACAAATCACATGATTGAGTCCTTTGCTATCAAATTCAATATTTGTAACTGCGCACTTTTCAAATCTGGTATCCATCAATGTGGATCATTTTTATTTAATGAATTAGTGAGAAATATAAATAGGAAGTCGGACGTTTGGAAGAATCCCTAAGAATGTTTCATTCTATGGAACTGATTTCACTTTTGCTTATAAATAACCTAGGTGTGTGAGGATACTTTTAATATGCAGCACACTTAATTTACATCAGTCATTTTAGATCAATCCTTTCATTTCCAGTTGAGCGATAAAAGAGTGCTGATCAATTACGCAAGCATATGATATCGTGTATGCAGGAAAAACTTGTATTTTTGTTCTCAAGTTTATAGCATTGTAGCTGCAAGAACTGAATTCCTGCACTCCTTGTAACCATGGTGCTACTATCTGTGTACAATTTTCTAAGATGCAATTGCAGCATCCTATCCACTCCAACGTATTTTTTTTAATCCATTTCTTGAAAAACTACTTTTTGAAAGAACAATTGGAAACAAAGGAAGAAGAATAAGAAGAAACAAGCACTTTGGAGAGGAAAGGAGACACACAATAAATTTATTAGTTATTTGTAATTAATTGCTATAGCCATGATACACTGTGGTAAAGGGTGCAACGTTCCTAGCTCTATTCACAAAATTAACAAGGAGCCAATGAGCAAATCTGCTCATCTACACAACAGGCCCCTTGATAAGATGTTGAGGTGAAATATATGCTACGACTTTGCACATCTGGCTAGAAAGCAATAGATAAGGAGCCATTTCTACACTGCAGATAATGCTTGCTTTCCTTGGCTAATAGTTTCCTGTCCTTTTGTAATTACTAATATCTTTTATATTGCACTCCTGGACAACTTCAGCAGAAAAACCAGATGCTGCAACAAACATACCGGTATATTTGATTAATTTCAATTTTTTCCAAAACCGTGTTAAAGCAATCAGAATTGCCAAAAATAAATTGAAAACATTCAGATGAATACATGTGGTTTACGTATATCAATAATTTACTGAACCAATCAAATAATGCTGCTCATATTTTTCTGAGTGAATTTATGCTATTTGTCTATGTAGAATCTGGGTTCATCCAGTAGTTCAAAAACAACATTTGGAAACAAGCATATAACAAAATTATCCTCATCATTGGAATTCAATAAGTCAAACCAGGCTTGAAGAAAGAGATACATATGAGGGAAAGGTCAGCTTTCAAAATCTGTTTTATAAAACTTTCTTGAAGGTCTTGGACCAAAGTTATAAAAACAAGACCACACAAACGGATTCCCATAACTCAGAAAACTTGGTTGCTTTTCTTCCCAACCAGCATTACCACATACCATGACAGTGACCTGTATAGGTCTTAAAATATGGGAGTATTTTTCTGAATAAAAGGTGGGATATAAATCTTACAAGTAATAACTGAAGTGTTTAGATGGATAAAGATTATTCTTTTGTTAACCTATGGTGCTTCAGAGAAGGCTTTTATTCTAAAATGACTCTACTTGGACAACAAAATTCTACACTCACAAAAAGTGATCATCTTCCATGTATAATGTTTCATATTTCCACACTGCTTCTTCTTCTTTTTTCCCCTTTGAACACACACAATGTGTGAAAGAACAAAAGATGGAATACACTAGTTGTGAGATGAGGTAATGGTAGGAGCCATCTGTCTGGAAGGATCTCAGAGAGAATTAAGTCCATAGACCATAATGAGTACTTTGAAACAGACAAATCCAAATTGGTAAACAGCACTGTTGACACAAAGAAATGCTATGTATTATTTTCTGTTCCTGTTGGCATTTGGGAAGCTGCTTGGTGGGTCAGTTAGTTATTTCCAATTAACAGTAGAGACCTCATGTTAATGTAGTATATAGATAACAAAGCAGGGTTAACTCAAAATTTATTGGGGAAAAAATGAGCTTTTTAAGAGGTAGACTGGGATGTGGCATTAAATTAAGGCCAAGTGACCATTCCTTGCATCTTAATTTACAAATGAAGCAGCATGCTTGTTGTCTCTAAGACACAAAGCTCTCCAGATTGCCTAGTTTTTTGAGTATATGTGCCTTCCGGTCAGTGTTGTCTCCTGGCAACTACCTGGATAAGTCCCTGCAGTTTTCTTGGCAAGATTTCAGAAGTGACTTGCCATTGCCTCCTTCCTAGGGCAGAGGGGGGGGGGAGGGAGGGAAGGGGAGAGGGAGGGGGGAGAGAGAGACGGGTGCCTAAAGTAGGGTTAGAATTCATGACCAATTGGTTTCCAGCCTAGTGCCTTAACCGTTATATCAAAATGTCTCTCTCTTATTTTCTTACCAATTGCTTATGCAGGATATCCCACGAATGATACTCAGAAGGTGACTGGTCCAGAAGCTTAGCAGGAGGGGACAACTGGCAACGTTTATGGGGAGTAAAGTCTCAACTAGTCTTGAGTAGCAGATCCTCTGCCTCTAGATGAGATTATAATTTCACAATCTTGATCACAAAGAATAGGGTGGGAGGTTTAGGGTTAGGGTTAATTTATCTTCCATCTTTTTCTATTCTTAATACAGAACTGTGGTAAAAACACTTAGTAGCACCAACCTTTGATTAATAGTGCAGATGCCTCTGACTCCAGATGTCTGTAATCCAGCAGCCCAAAGAGATTAGCAGCTGGCATATTGTTCTTCAGTGATGAAATATGCAACATTTTTACCAGACAGTCTGAAATCCAATAGCATGTACAAAGGTACAGTCAAAAGACATGCAATTCTACCTAGGAATGGCTTGATGTCACACATTTCTTTTCCAAGCTATATATCAAAATCAAATGTGTATAAATATACATATCCATCATGCTATTACTTTTGGAGGGTAAGCAGCATTATGCAGAAAAGAATAAAGAAATAGTATGCCAAAATTACAAGAAATGTAACAATATCTACTTACAATAACCATTCATTCTGACTTTTCTTATTTTTCTTTCCCTAAAATCACCCCTACTTTCACCATCCCTACACATTTACATTTTGCATTTTGTTCTTTATTCAATTTCCATTTTATTGGCATCATCCAACAACTCATCCAGATGATCCATAACCCAGCATTCTATTTCAGTCACAACTGCGTGTTAACCTGCTTTTCAAAACATATTATTGTTATGCATTTCCATGTTGTCCAGTTGCATGATTCTACAGCTTAAAACTACACCAATGAGAATTGTTTTGAGGAATACTGAGGGCATTGCTGGTCAAACATTAGGATAAGAATAAAGGGAAATTAATATATAATCAAAAATGAATAATCAGGTTAAATTTGCATTGCAGTTTTTCTCAGACTGGAGTGTAATTTCTTATTAAGTGATGGGGGTTGTATTTGCAATAGTATAACTTAAATACATCATGCATCAATTATGCATGTAAAAAGCAACTAGTAGTGTCCTGATTTAGGAAGGAGGGCTTGAAGATTGAATGAGCATAATATATACCGGTAAGTTCAGATACCTTGATGGCTTCAGCTGTTAATCCAAGAGTAACTAATTTCCTTTCATTCATCATTGCAGCATTTTCAGAAGTTAAAAGAATTCCAAGATGTCCTTGCACTCAAAATGTGGGATTCGCCATCGTTTTGTGATCATAATGTGGGGGTGAAAGGGTGGCATCTGTTCTAAAATTGGGAAGGGTATTTTCCCTGTGAATGAGATTTCTATACCTAAGAATAAATTTTCTCTGCACAACATGAAACAACTTGATCATATGCCTTACATGTAACTTATAAAATATTATACACCAATTTGCTTTGGTTTTCTTTTATTAATACTTAAACCTTCATTCTATTTTAAGATTCTTTTAGATTTAATTGTTCACTGGACTTTAATGCATTGTTTATTTCTTAAGGTTTCATGTCTACCATCTCTCTATGTCATTCACTTCATAAGACACGATCTTAAGAGGTTATGAAGAATGTCCTTGTCATCTTCTAGAATCTAGATAAAAAGGGACGACAAATCTTACCACTCTGGAGACTAAGCAGAGCAGTGGTGTTAATAGCAAACAAGGGAGCAGCACAAATTCCTGATCCAATTCACAGAACCAGTGGCTGCCTTCTTCAGGAAGATAAAAAGATCATTTGGGGCTTTCTTTAGCTACAATCAGCAATGGCATAATTAAACTGGCATGCATTTTTAAAGTTTATGGATACGATTTTGTCTCTTGGCGCTACAGAAATTCTTAGAATGTCTTCATGTATTCTTTTGAACCTTTCTTCTCATCAAAGTAACTTGTGGATGTTGTATATAATCTTCTACTGTATTAGTGTATTTAAATCATCCTTGATCATATTCTCATGGTGCTTCACAAAATGAATAAAACAACTGAAATGTAAACAAACCAAAGCATTTTAAGTAATTGTATTAAGTAATGCTTAAATGAAGTATTAAAGGTATATGGCTATTTATTTCTTACAGCATAGCACTGTTTAAACTGCACTTAAAACATCTCCGAAAATAAAAATGCTCTTCGATGCCAAAATGACCATTAAGTAGATGCATTACAAACTATTCTGGGTTCATTGTGGTTATTGGTGCTGGATAAAATGTCCAACAGGAAGGAATATGACTCGTGTGCACACACTCACCCTTTCTAATATAGCATTTTAAAAAATGATGAGTGTTAAGACTCACACTTAGGAATGCCTTTCGAACATTTGAAATATGGAAATAATAATTAACATGGAGAAATGATTAATGGAGGGTAGCTAATCTTGCCTTTCCAGATTCCATTTCACATACAATTTCTTTTGAAAGGGCGCCGTTTCAAACTAAGTTCCCCTTTCAAGCTTCCCTGTGATGTATTATAAGATCGGTACTTCCAATGAAGTCTTGTGGTTATTGTTATTTTCATGACACACCAAGCACAGTTTGTTTCTTACGGCTTTGCAGCAGTGGCCTGAAGATCAGTTTTTCCAACCTTCCTGTTCCTAACTTCCTGCCTTCCTCTCTCCTAGGCCCGGACCAGAAGGTGTGGCTTCTGGTGTGTATTTGTCTGGCTAATGTAGGCCTTGGATGAGGCTTGACAGGGTCTCTCTGCAGTTCTGAGTTTTTGGAGACAAGAGGAAACAAGACCAGGAGGTAAGTGAGGCTTCCTCCTCCTACAGTCCCTCCCGCTCTTCTCTGCCTCCACTTCCCACCAAACTGGATCCTGCCACCATTGAACCAAAATAGCCCTGCAGAGGCCTACATATAGGGTTAGGGCCAGGCAGTGTCTTCTGCCCTCCCAGGTTATTTATTATAAGCTGAGATCCCATAGCATGCTTAACTAGGGCAGTGGTTGCATTTGTACAACGGGCTAAAAATGTATGGCTTAACCCATAAAACCAATCTAGCCCATGAAGTTTATTGTATAGGTTGGGCGTGAGCTTAAACAGTGGGCTAAATGGGTAACGCAGTTAAATGTTTGGGATGAATCCAGACATATTCAATCCACATGCTCTTAGATCCCTTTTACTATCTCTTTACTATCTCCAGAACTGAGGTTTCCTCACTCCCTAAATATTCAGGTAGACCTTTTTTGGTTTGGGAACTTGGTCCTTTATTTTTTCCAAGAAAATATGGCCATTGGCTGAGCGGTTACGGTATGGGGCTTGTCAATCAGAAGGTTGGCAGTTTGAGACTAAGTACCACATGATAGAGTGAGCTCCCTTTCCTGCCCCAGCTGCTAATCTAGCCATTTGAAAGCATGTAAGTGCAAGTACATAAATAAATAGATATCACTTCAGTCAGGGAAGGTAACAGAATTCCCTGTGCTTTCAGCGTATAGTCATGCTGGCCACATGACCGTGGAAACATCTTCGGACAATGGTGGCTTCCTCAGCTAGGAAACAGAGATGAGCACTGACCCTAGAGTCAGACACAACTGGCAGGGGAAACCTTCACCTTTACCTTTTTAACTATACCTTAAAAAAGCACTTACCTTTGAAAGGGTGACAATTCTTGCTTGTAGTTAGTTCCCCTTTCCCCTTTCCCTATTGAATATATGGGTGACCTAACCCAGTAACCCACTCTGAATGTTAAATCTGGAAATAGATCTTGCCCTTATTTCCTCCTATTGCAGAATTCTTTTTTTTTTTTTCCTGTAGTCATCCTTATCACTTTATACTTTTTGCCATCTATCCTGATCTTCATCTCTTAGCTTTCACCTTTTAGCCATTACCTCAATGAATGATTTCTTGCTGTGGTGTTCCTGGTTTTATCTCAGAACTGTCCTGTCTCTTAATTTTTCTATTGGGCAGTTCTCTAATTAGATCTCATTTTTATTTCTTTTTATACCACGCATTTCTCACAGAATTCTTCTTTGTGATCTTTGAGTCTGTACATGTTGATACATTTGATTTTCATTTTTGTTTTAGAAATGCTCCTTTCTCCACTCTTTATTAACTCTTTATGACAATCAGCCTCTTGGGTTCTTTATTCTATTATCCCTGTTCTAAATGTATTACATGCCAGACTACTTCTGAAAATAATTTAAAAGCCTCAGCCAGAGCAAGATGCAGCAGTCAGAGACGTGATTACTTCTGGCTGCTCTGATAACTTGCCAGTTTTAAAAGAACTTCACAGACTGTTTATTTGCTAATAGTCCCTATTCAGAACTGCTGGTGCATGCTTTTAACCGGTACTCTCCTTCCTCCCTTTTTGTCTGTGACCTGTCAAAGTCACAGAAAAAACTGCATGGCTAATAATTGTTTAAAATTTTAATCAGTAGTAAGCTCCTTGGGGTGTGCTCCTTAGTAAGCCTGTTTAGAAATTCAGTTGCTATTACTTAACAGTTCTAGTCCTGCCTTAGGCATAGAAGCCAGCTGGGTGACTTTGAGACAGTCAGCTTCTCTCCAACATAAGAAAGGAACTGGCAAGAAAAATGTTGCCAAGAAAACTGCAGGGTTGACCTGATGGAGCTAATAAAGTCCATGGGGTGTACTTTTTTTAGTAAGCTTGTTTAAAAATGCAAGTAGCGTTACTGAGGTTTCCAGTCTGTAATTGAGGAGGAGGAGGAGGAAGAGGAGGAGGAGGAGAAGGGAAAGGAAAGGAAAGGAAAGGAAAAGGAAAAGGAAAAGGAAAAGGAAAAGGAAAGAAAGAAAGAAAGAAAGAAAGAAAGAAAGAAAGAAAGAAAGAAAGAAAGAAAGAAAGAAAGAAAGAAAGAAAGAAGCTATTCATAATAGCAACTTGTACACTGTGATCAGCAGTAATGATGAACCGATAAATTTCTGTTCATAGCATTATCTGGATAACAGCATTATCTTTTGGTTTTCTTTTGGTTTCCTCAGCTTCAATTTTTTTTTACAATTTTAAAAGTCAAAACAACTTAACGAAGAAGGGTGATGCCATGGCAGCTACTCCAACAATGTCACCAGCCACAGGTAAGTGCACTTAGCAATAAGGGGATGACAAAGTAGAAAGCTTTTTAGAGAAAAGAAAACCTGCTATTTTAATCTTTATAGGGTATAGGGTGGAGAATAAGCTTACTCACAAAATGATGAATGTGGAAAATTATTTTTCCCCTGGCCCCTCATGTCAGCAGCTCAGAGTATTTTATTGTTGAGAACTTGTGGATACCGTAAGTATATGTACAATATCTAACATATTTAGCCACTTTATAATGAATTATAATAGGAGAGAAAGTAGTTATCTTATTTCACTGTTAAATCAAGAGGCGGAGGTGGCTACAGAGAAACAAAGGAGAACATACTCATCTTCCTTCTAGTTGGGCCCACATAAACCCATAGATGAGTTTAAACATGGTTTGTTGAATACAGCATATAAACCATACTGTAATACATAACTCTAATCTACAAATCATGGTTTAATTCCATTAGATTTTGTGTGTGATGAGGGAGTTTTATAATAAGATAAAATATAACTTGCAAATCCAAAACAGTTGGCTTCACCATCTGCATGTTAAATAAAATAGTCCTCTGATTTTTTTAAATTTGCAACTGCAAATAAAGTTATGCGATATACTAATATCAATATTGCAGAGCGCAACAGAACAAGGTACAGATTTTCTCAGTTGGGGGTCCTGACCAACATTCTTCTAACCAATGGATAATCAAACATTTCCCTGGAGTTGGATTTCAATTCCCTAAGGCTTTTGAAGATATGCAGATTAAAAAACTGATTAACTATTGGAAGGTTAGCGTACATCACATTATGATAATCAGAGGCCACAATCAGGAAGTGTAAGTCTGCCTGCCCATAACCAAAGAAACCCAATTCCAATGGCAAGCCTTTGAATTTGAGCTCAGTTAACCCTACTGAGCAATGAATACCAAAGTTTGGAATGGAAATCCTTTTTTCAGTAATGAAACTGCTGTTGCATAGGCAGAGAGTGCTAAGATTTATCCTATAAATATATGCTGAACTTTTTTTCAATTCACCTAAATTTGCTTAAGTCCTAAATCTTTGCTCCACGAGGAAGGCATGCCACTGTTTTCTCCACATACATTCTCAATGCAGTCTAGACTAAAGGTCCCAGCTATGTTGGCTTACTGGTTCGCTTCTGGCATTCTCAGAATCTGAATTCAGAAAAGTGAATGCTGAAGTATTTAGAGAGAATGGTATATTTGGCTCTACAGTAATCCTCAAATGTATCAATTATAGATGACAAGATAGCAGATCACCTATGGTGTACAAGCTATATGACCTTGATATATTTATTCACGGACATACATGCTGGGGGAAGGCAACAATATTGCATCAGGATATCAGTACCTAAACGTCACAAATTACATTCTCTGGACATTTTGCAGCATACAAAATGATGCCAGTATTCAATTCACAACATTTGCACAATGGCTTAATTCACAGGTTTGTTAGCACTGTGGCTTCATGGAAGCTATATTATTGTTTGGTGTAAATTGTGAGCCCAGCCTCTTGCCTAAGTGATAAGAATGTGGATGTTTTTATGTGTAAAAATATTTATAGAAATGCTTAGTTTTGGTCAATTTCCTTCCTCTTTTATCTTTGAAAACATAAGGAAGCAGCGTTTCTTTGCTACTGAAACAGCCATGGGAAGGGAAGGACTCATCATACTCTATATTGACTGTAGCCCATTTAGTTGGTATTTCCTCTGTTCCCACTACTTGATTCACACATACATTAATTGTTAGATATCATCAGCCCTGTACTGAGCCATGATTTTTAATCATGGTTTCCTGACTGAGCCAAAATAGGCTATGTTCATAAAAAGCCTGGTTTGCAAATCACTGCTGCTGTTAGAACAACATGCCAAAATGGAAACCAAGTAAATCAGATAAGGGCTTAGTGCAGGGTTTCTCAATCTGATTGATTTAAAGATGTCTGGGCTTCAATTCATTCAGTTCTGGGAGTTGAAATCCATACATGTTAAGGTTGAGAAACATTGACTTACTGCAGTGTGCGAATCTTGTCACTGGTTCAGTGCTAATTTATGTAAGACAATTATTCCACCGGAAGAATCTATAGCTATCCAGCACATCGGTTTTTCATTTCTTTGTGCACTGCAACCACACAAATCTCAGAACTCTGTCATAGTATTCCTGAAACAATACTAGAATGTCATTCTCCGTTCAATTCTGGCACCATCCATGTTGAAAAGTAGCACATGATCTTAAGATAGTAACCATCCCACTGTTCCTTCTTTGGCAAGTAGCTATAACAATTTGCAATAAATGTCACAGTATGCTTCAGCATCCAGAAGTTATTTGGAAGGCAGACAAAAGTTATAATTTCTACTATTTCTAGTATAATTTCTTTCTTTGCTAATAAGAAGTCCTCTCTTTGAGAGAATTGGGCAGTTCAGTAATCTGACTGACAGGGAGGGAGAGAGGGAAAGGGAGAGAGAAATGTAATAAAGATTGTCAGGTTTGCATGCACAGGAACACATCTATTCATTCTGCTTTTCTTTTCCTTTTTGCTTCTTCTCTGACTCCGTTTAACTTGCTCCAAATAATTAGTGGATGAACTGGCTGTAATGTCATAGCATATTTGCAATCGTTCTAATGTCTCAGGAAAAACTAAGTTCTTCAGAGAGAGCATCCTATTTATTTGGAAATAAATGTCTTAAACAGCCTACATTTTCACATCATGCTGAACCATTGTTGGCATGATCATTGTTTACTGAATACATGACAAATAAACAAATCCAATTAAACAGATTCACCCAACATGCTAAGCTGAAACCAGACTACATTATTGCTTAATATATGATGCCAAACTAAGGCTGCTTCCAAGACAGACTTCAAGTCAAAATGAAGTTTGCTTGTTTGTACTGTTTTAAAGCTGGTCGGTGTGATTTATAAACTATGGGTTACAGCTTAAATTGGATATAGATTTCACCATTTAAGTTCTAGTGAAAAAAAATCAAGGTTAAACAAATGTCATCTTAGAATGTTGTACATACGTAGTCTAAACATTATATATTGTTAAACAGATCCTCATTTCTGCCCAAGTGAAAAAGCTGGATAACCTGGCTTTGCTAGAGCCAGGATCAAAAGGCATAATTCTCACACATCAATTTTAGCTAACCAGATGTTAGATAGGTTGCTGTCACGCATAATGTTTTCGTTTGTGCCTACTAATGATTTTGATAGGATGGAGAGGGTTTAAATTAATGCTTCACAAATATAATTCAATTTTGCAACAGGGGAAAGGGAGAAAAAAGGGTGAGACGTGTATAGGGTTGGATACCTTGGACTTGGCCACAGTCTGGAGGGAATAGGTTGTTATCTGAAACCTGGAAAACATTGGTCTGGTTCAGAGGCCCTTATGATAAGATCCCTCGATGTCATACATTCTTGTAAAGAATTTGGCTCCCAAATAGCTGGCAAGTCTTAGAAATCTTTAGAAATGAGCTGCTGGCAGAACATTTGTTCCGGCTGGCACTTCCACTGTTGTACATTATTAGATATTCACTGAGTAAGCCCAATTACCTACGCCCTGAAACACTACAGAACAGACCTGTTTCTGCTTTGTAACTGGAGCCAAAGGTTAAAGGCTTTTATTGAGCAACTCTTCCAGCAGTTTCAATGGCACTTTTCTTCCCCTTGCAGTTTGGCCAGTTATTTCACCAAAAGCTACTTGCCCCTAATCATTTTAAGCTCTCGTTTTGCAGTTGTGGCTGCATATTGCGCCTCAACATTTCATCTTATTTAGCATATACTTTTTTCCCTGTAGAAAAGAAATGTGTGTGTGTGCATGCGCGTAAGCAGGATGCATGCATGCCTACTTCTGGAAGGTGTAGTATATGTATCAGCATACTGTATGTGTTCTCATTCCTTCACCAAGGATATCATTGTGCCTTCCAGTTCTTCTTGTCAGTATACTATAACTCTGGGAAATTGGTTAGCCTGAAAGGCAGGGGGGAAGGGGGGGAAGCCTATTGCGAGGTCATCCTTCCCCTCTTCCATTTCCGTGATAGAAAGGAGTTTGAATCTGGACTTCCTGGTTCAAATCAAGTGCACCGTCCACTGCTATATTGATGTCTCCCTCTTTTCTCTTCCATGAAGGGATGCTGACCAGTCCGTTCATGAAGAAGATGAACACACCTACATCCCAAGAGGATGCCAATATGGCTGTTATAGGAGGTATTAGCCATTATCTTTCCAGAGCTAACTATGGGGTGCATCCCAACATAGCCCCAAAGCACTAATGGCAAAGCCAATAGCGTAGATGGCAGGTGGTACAAGTGCCAGCGTATCCTACGTATTAGGAGGTACTCCCAGACCAGACCTACGTATCTTTGACACAAGGGCTGGTATTTTTTTTTCAGCCAATGGCTGCACTTTATTAGTATTGTATATGAATACATGCATGCATGTACATATTCCTGCACAGCGTGTACACTTTTGGGCATCCAAGAGTGTGATGCTGGCCTTGTTTACCCCTTGACATTAGCTATGATTACCTAACCACTTAGCACATTTTAATTCCTGATATGCATGTTTTTGGTAGTGCTTTTGGAGGTAATGATCCCAGGAGCAATGGCCGTTTCCATCCTTGCTCTATGCTTTTTTTTTTTTCCTTAAAGCATCCAACTTCCCTCTTCAAAGGCAGTCTTCTGCCTCTTGTGTATGGGTTGCCTATTTTGACTCAACAGAAATGGTCAAGCAGTTCTAGTGGGGAACAAAATTGCTCATCTAGTACAGAGAGCTATTATGCAAAAGCCCTGTCTTCTTTACCCCAGTGCTGAAACCTTGACTAACACTGTTTTCCAGCCGTATTATTGTATATTTAACGTATCTCTACTGCCTGCTTGTAGAGGACCAGGCATATAGCTCTGAGCAGAGAATTCATTCAGGGGACGGTCACATTAGAAGCCTGTTCTATTGCTCTCCATATAACCTCTGAAAGAGCCACATTAGCATCCCAGGAAAGGATCGGAAGTTAAGCCTTTTGTCGATCAGGGCTGTAATTCTTACGGAGGGCCAGAATCCTACACCCTGTCAATTTCAGCATTTGAATTGTTATGGAAACTACATAACTTAAAATGAATCTAAAAGTGAAGGCTTGCAGATTCAGGAAGAATGTGACTTGGCAGGACTTAGTAGGCAAAGCCGATGTTGGTGCAAGAACATAAAAACAAGCAAGATTGTTGATGAGATCCATTCGCTGTGTGTCCACTCCTTCAGTGGAAGCTCAAGGTAGATCACAATGCAATGTGCAGGATTTTGATCCGATTTCCATGTTGTCAATAAAATCTTGCATATATACAGTATATTAAAGCATGGGGAATTCTGTGAGTTAAAGCTCACATAGCTTAAAGTTGATGAGCTTGAGAAAGACGGGTCAAATGTAGTTTATCTACACTTGAGCATAAACCTCAATTATTTTTAATTGTAAATAAAATGTAAGGAATAGGCTCTAGGTTCCTCCCTCCATAAATTCCTCATCACTCAGTGCTGTTTTCCTTCAATTCTTTTCATCTTGTTCTACCATTTAGGGTCATAGGTAGAAAGGCACTCAGCCTAAAAGGCTTTGGAGTCCCTAGATTGCTATAGTTCTAACCACAATTACACTGGCTCCCCTTAATGAACTCTTAGGTTTTTACTTTCAAATTTACCTTTCTGGCAACAAATATAATGGTAGATAAAATGATAAAGGGGAGGTGGGGTCTGTGCGACATAGAAACAAGCAGGTAAGATAGAAGCTTGTTCTCAGACTAACAATTGCTTGGTCTGTTAGATCTGCTCAAAAACTATCTGTTCTAAACAATTTCCTTTTCTCCATTTTGTTTCAAGCTGTTATCGCCGTGGTTTTTCTCACACTCCTTTCAGTTGTTGTGATAATTGTTATTTACCTGTACAAAAATAAAGGCAACTATCACACTTATGAACAACCTGAAGCAGATCCAGAGGGATCAGTCCAAATGGAAGACTTCCCCCATAAACGTGAAAAAGAAGAGTACTTCATATAGAAGATGCTGGACTTCTGCCATGTCTTAGACTGTCCTAACTTAAATAAACAAAAGTTGTAAGTTGTCATTCTTTTACTCAAGAAATTAAAGCTGTACTAGTAAGTTTTGTTTATATACTTGGGGAACTCTGGCTTAAACAGAGTAGTGAACTAGGAGTTCTACACCTTGGTGGCAACACACAAGTTATTTATGGATTGCAGTGATGCAACCCTTACAATGCAGAGTGGTCATCACTGTCCAATTCAAATTATCTAAAATTAGAATAGGCAAATAGGTACCTCTTAACCCCAGATAGTTTGCTATCTGGTATAGGAAAGAAAACACCAGGGTGAGGATTGACCCAAATGACAACTATTTTCACATCTTATTCACCTGTAAAGCAAATAAAAAATAAAGCCCATTTAAAACAAAAAATATATTTAACATGCAAAACTTCTTTTTGGCTATTATAAGCCTCCACACATAGAAGTGAAGTATTAGGAACTTCTAATATCACGAGAAACTGCTCTATGGGTGTTGCTTTCAGTTAAGCAAATCAACTCAAGCTCTGAAAAATAAGCTGCCTCGTTATTTTTCTTAAACCTTCTTAATATGAATATTTCTCACATATACCTTAATGGCTTTTTTATTCATTTTAAGCCCGCAATGTAGTGTCTGTGCATATCAAATCTTTGGTTCTGTGAAGAAACATCTGCATTCATAGTTTCAAGCATGTGCTTTCCAGTCTAACGGAAATACCTAAACTTCCAATATAACAAGAGGAATAATAATGAAATAATTTGTATGGTAATGCATTGCATGAGGGCAAATATTATCATAGGCTGAGAAAGCAAGAGGAAGAATATGATATGTTAGCAGTTCTTGACAGAAGCGGAGGGGGAATAGATTGCTATCTTTTAAAATACTTGGAAAAAAGTGAAATATGTACTGTATAATATTTACTTCCATATCAGTGCATTCAGGACTACAGATAGTTCTAAATACTTTTAGAAGCATATTGGTTTACTGTATTATTAACAGCAGAAGCAGGAGAAAGCTTTCCATTGGAATTGTGGCATATGGAAAGGAAAAGTTTTAACTCTTTCTCTCCCATGACTCAGTCCCAAAAAAAATAATCCTTTCTACATTGCTGTCATCAGAGAAAAGAAAGCATGCATGACTGCTAAAGACAATTCTTTTCTGGGATTAATAGCAGTTTCAGGGAAGGGAGAGATTTTAACTGGCTTTATTTTTTCATACTAACTGCTTCCTGATGACACACTTAATGTTACTATGTAGTGGTAAATGTGTTCAGTATTTATAACATCCCCTATATCATACAATTTATATTTTTTTCACACTGACAGCAAAGTGAACAAAGGAACAGATACAAAGGCAAAATCAATTTTAAAAACTTGCAGCATTATAATGGACAGGAATTTAAGAGGCTAAATTCAACTTTGTCACTTTATTCAAATTTTCAAAATAGCCTTTATTCTACTTGTTTTTAGTATAAAAAGTCCACAAGTTAAGTGCACCACAGTGTTTACAGAGAGACCTAGAATCCCAACCTTCCATTAACAGTCAGCTGTATGGATGACCATGACACATACAACACACAGAAAATTAAGATAAAATATATTCACCAAATCTGATAATTTTTTAATTCATAAAAACAAAAGCAACAACAACAACAAAAGATTGAGGATCCCTGAAATATTCTTAATCCTAATAAGACTTCATTGTACCCAAGTCACTTTTTAAATGTTTGCATCTAAAAAAAAAACAAAAGCAAAAAAAAACAAACCCCATCAATCCAGCAAACTTGCACACTGATTGACATCTACCAGACATTTTTTTTTTGTCTCTCTAGCCCGAATAACATTCCACTTAAAGGGTTTTTGTTATTACGACACTGGGTTGCTTCCCTCCCCCACACCCTTTTAAAAAAAATGGTTTCATTTTAAGCTCTTTTGTTTTGTTTGTTGAAACATACAGGAAGCATTTAATGAAATGTTGTATTTCTGGCACCAAAACATGGCTTCAGTTAGATTTTTAATGTGCAAAGGAGTCCAAGATCACTTAAGAATATATAAAAAAGGACATCCTGGGACATCGCTCTAGCTGCATACTTTCCTAGCAAAAGAACAGAGAGCAAAGGTGAGTAGAAGGAACCAACCGAGGGGTTCTGAAATGGAAAACTGAGCCTCCCCCCATCATGCTCTTCCAATAGGCATCTAACACAGATGCCCCCCCCTCCCCCCAAAAAAACCATTATGTCTGACTATCTTTCTCCCCAGCACCATTGATTCTAAGGAAAAGGAAAGATGGGTCTTAGTCCTAGTCATTGGCAACAGGTATTATCTGATCTGCAAGCTTGGTACGTTTGATACGTGGAAGCCAGTTGTCTTCCAACTTTCGTTCCTCCCACCCCCGACCATTTCTCATCCCCAATCCCAACCCCATTTTTATATATAGTTGATTAATAAAAGCCAGACACAGAGGAAGAGAGCTGCAGTGAAAAGCACTCTCTGGTGGAACTAAAGGGAAATCTGAGGGACAGCTTAGCTCACATTCATTTCACAATTTAACCCCCAAGGTTTAAGAGAGGCACTCCTACCATTGCATGGTTTTGTATTTTAAAATTTGCTTTTTTTTTTTGTTTTAATAAAGAAAAAGTGCCTGAAGGGTCAGGGCACCAGGAAGACACCCTGCATCATCATGTGTCTAAATTGCAACTCCAGGTTAATACGACTAAAGCGGTTACATTGTGAGAAGTGCTGACAGTATGTGATGTCGTTCCTTTACACCAATGTAGCGCCCCCCCCTTCCTTCACCAGATGGTGTAGCCACCATCGGAGCCCCCCATGAAGAAGTTGCCCTTCCGTTGCGTCACTAGCACATTGGCACCCTGCATGACAGCCAGCTGGGCTGCATTGGGAGGACAGCCAGGAGGAGGAGGCTGAAAGAGAACAACAGCAACATATTAGAGGGATGCCATATGACAAGGCTAACAAAGCGCAGACCACAGTTTTGACAGAGGCTGCCAGGCTGGGCTGCAAAAAGCAGTCTTAGCAAGCTTCTTGCATGGCTTCCAGGATGCACGAGTTAACGCCAAGCTGGATTTTTTTTTCAAACTACGGTTGGGTGACTATAAACTATAGCAGGGTAGGATTTATTAATTTTTTTAACCTGCCTCCCTGACAATTCTGCAGATGAGTTAGGTTTGCAAATCAAGCAGGCTATCCTTTCAAAAGGGCAATTCCTCAAGAAAGATGAAATCGCTACAGGAAAAATCACAGCATCCTCAGAAAAAGCCCCAGTGTCACCTTGAGCTCAAGGAATTTTATTTATGTTATCATTCTCACTAATGCCTATAGAGATAAAAACATAAGTGACACTGGACCCTCGCGGGCTTTCCCCCTGCCTTATCTCAGAGTTTATATCACATTAATACTTGAGGCCGAAAATCCTTAAAACCCTTGCAGGTACTTTGCATTCACAATCTTGCAATATGGGGGGGGGGGGTGGGGAATGGTTTTATTACCAGGAAAAGTAGGGAGGGGGACTACTTTCATAATCCTCTATCACAGAAAGCAAATACAATAAGCGTAAGTGCCTACTTACAGGGATGTTGCCAGGAGCACTGGTTGCAAACCTTGCTCCAGCATCAAAGCCACCTTCCACAAGTACAGCAGATCCAGGAGGATAGACCGGGCCAACAGGATAAAAAGCCACTGGAACTGAAGAGCCCATTGGCCCCATAGCTACAGATTGAGCCATAGGAAGGTACAGTGAAGCACCAGGATAAGCTGCAGACATGGTAGGTACAGTGGCAGCTCCGGGATGTACAAAACTTGGGCGGTACAGCTGAGGAAGAAAGTACACATAAAACATTCCTTATGGGTACATACTCAGAAGTTTTCCTTCTCAAAGCTCTGGTTCTACTTAGGAAGATGTTTTGCCACTGATAGTGGAAATAAGCTGCTAAAACCTAAACAAAAATAAATCAACGTAGACCAGCTGGCTAGATGTCTCTGGGAAGTTCACAACAGGACATACAATGTGTATAGCTTTCTCTCATTTGCCCTTTGCCTTGTAAAACTTTCAACTTAAAAGAGTACCTGAACCAAAGGCCAACTACTTAGTAATAAATGCCAGATTCTGCAGTTTGAAAAGTGAAAGAGATTCAAAATAAAATGTTCTTTTCATTTACATTCAACTAAAGCTGAAGTTACATACTTCTGCTTCTGGCAATGTGTATCTTGGTCATCATGATGACCCTGCTTATATTGAAGTGCTCAGCCAGATCTATAATTTGCATATGATGAAATCACAACTCAAACAATAGAAACATTTGGCAAAACTACCTCCAAAATAATTGGAAACCTTCTAGGGAAAATCCTTGTCACTAAATCAGCTGGCATGGCAATAACCTATCTGGATCATCAATTATCAATCACAGGTGTTATTTTAGTAAGTGAAAAGATGTTTTTGATCTGATCCAGAAAGACTTATCTTATTTCTTACAACAGAAAGTGATTGGAGTACATACTTCTGAGTAGGCAGGAGGGGCATCAGAATAAGGTGGAGCCTGAGGAAGTGGTATGGTCTGTGGGAACACAGATGGATTACCAGGAGATTGAACTGGATAGGAAGGCTGTGTAGGGTATTGACCTAAGAGAAGAAATTAATCAATGTCAGCACAATTGTCTTTCCTGTAAAAGGACCTGGAAGTATATGAAATAAAGAAAAATCCCTCCTGTGGGAGCTTTGTCTGAAAGAAAGAAAAAGCTTCAAAAACAATATCTAAACAGCAAAAGAACCAAACGGGTGTTTTTGTTCTTTAATATGCAAAATTCCATAGATGACATCCAGACGATATCATTCAAACCAGCTTTCCCACTAAGAACAAAGGTAGTCAATAATTGTATTTTTACAATTGTATTTTTAAATGGACAGTGCCATCTCATGGGCAACACAAATATTTTTCAGAAGTCAACAAGAAATTAACTGCTTATCCATTATCTCCATTGGATATCAAATCTATTTTAAACCCACTGATTTAACTATCAACAAGCAAA